TATATATATATATATATATATATATATATAATATATATATATAATAATATATATATATATATATATATATACATTATATATACATTATATATATCTATATATATATATATAGTATGGGAGATTATTCATCTGGAATCGTATCAGTATAAACACTCGACTATATTGTAGAATTTCTTTGATTCAGAATGACTTAGGGTATAGGGGAAACAATTCCAGCTGAGACAGCCTACAGCTTTCGGTGGAACCAACTTGTACACAGGAATTTGTTTACCTTACCGAGTATAATTTAACAGATGGGTCCGTCCGCTAATTATTCACAAGACTTTGAAAAATGTTGAATCTTTTACAGCTTCAATGTAGATTTCAGATCTACGCACCATACTTGTAGCGAAGTTTTTATGGGACTGCCAATACATATGGCACAACGTACTTAGATAACTACTACTACAACCACAAACACATGATGGGATCAATGTGCACAAGTCCAAGCATACTATATTAACTACAATGTACTACAACCACAAACACATGATGGGATCAATGTGCACAAGTCCATTCATACTTTAATAACTACTATGTACTACAACCACAAACACATGATGGGATCAAAATGCACAAGTCCATTCATACTTTATTAACTACTACTACAACCACAAACACATAATAGGATCAATGTGCACAAGTTCATTCATACTTTATAAGCAACTACTACTACCACAAACACATGATGGGATCAAAGTGCACAAGTTCATTCATACTTTATTAACTACTACTGCAACCACAAACACATGATGGGATCAAAGTGCACCAGTACATTCGTACTTTAATAACTACCTGCAGTCATATACACTTGGGATATGTGTACCGTAATAGTGTTGCTCGTCAACTGTGAAGAGCCAACTCAGTCAAGATTAAAGGGTGAACCAATTCATAGCTATGGATCTCATACTTTTATTTACACGATTATTTTTACGCATACATCATAGCCTTATGAAAATTGAACAGATACATCATTACAATATTCCATCTGTTGCAATTATTTGTACATACATACATATGTTGAATTTGTTTATATTTATTACTATGGTCGGATGACGTGTTTATATACTATGGCCAATGCACTGGCCCACCATTTCTTATATTGTTCATTTCAAAATATACATCTGCTGTCGAAGAAAGACTGCAAAAAAAAAATTGAAATGTTAATATTAACACCAAACGGTGACACGGAGCATTCCGAAATGGAATCACGTCATTACTCAATACTCATCCGTGACTAACTGACTACCAAGTACCAAGGCAATCTGATATATATTTTTATATAAAAGACTTAAATATGTAGACAGTGTAGACACATCACACATGGTTTCCAAGGTAATTTTATTTTGATATTTTTAACACAAAAGAGCAGAATGCTTGACTCCAAGAGTGGCAGGTGGGGCATCTAAATAAAAGAGACAAATGTATTATTTAGTCCCGTTTCTACTTCCAAATTTATTCTAGTCCTGTTTCTACTTTCAATTGTACTCAATAGCGGACAAAAAAATTCTATACTGTCGTACATTCTGTACTTTCGTACAATAAATATAAAACCATAGCGCCGTTCAGCCAATTCTTGACCGTTTTGGCTAAAAATAAAAATAGGATTTAGATTGAGTCTCAAACCGTGTAGGGTTCAAAAATATAGTCGGAATCTATTGAAAATTGTATACTCAAACTCTATGATTAGGTAGAAAGCTCACTACGACAAAATTGATCTAAAAAATTAAAATTTCTGAGTAAATATACCAAATTTTCACATGACCGGGGGTAGTTTGTACAAGATATTGTACCACCCAAATATGCTTTTGGGGTAAAATATATTTAGGCAATAGAAGTTTTCAATTGCCATCACAGTTGCTAACTTGCTGGAAACAGCCGATTCCGGATTCAGAGCACCCTTAAAAACTGCAACTTGCGCACGCAAAAAAAATCCCGATTATGTTTAGAAAATAGTTCAAAAGGTATTTGATTCGAATGAGTCGTCGTTAGGGTTAAGGCTTTTAAAAGTGACAATCACCGACACAGTCATAACCGACTTATATGTCACACTCTGACTCCGAATCTATGACTATGAGTAGTGTGCCAATTGCCATTTGCCAAAGGGCAGGTCGATCCTCGGTCCTCGGTCCTCGGCAACGCCAAACAAGTTGAGAAAAATGAAAAATCAAACAACAATTGCATTTTGTTTTAATCGAGAGTATATATATACAGAATAAATAGGTTAGAAATAGTCAGAAACATTGAAGCAAGATTACTTAGAACTTACATCAACAAACACAGATAAATCATGATGTCTAAGACGTTAGCAACTCTGCAAGACGGCCACGCGTATACGATATTCGTATGCGCGGGATGGGCAACTATATCCACAATGCTTATTATGTTAAACAACTATATACTTAACAATGATGATTTCCACTATCCCATCTTTCTTTGTAGCTTGGGACAGTTGTGCTCGTATATAGGAGCTACTGTATTCATTCGCATGGGATGGGCGACTCAAAATGCACATCTCACACCGATGGATTATGTCAAGCAGATCCTTCCAATTGGTTTGATGTCTGCCGGAACTTTGGCATGCGGAAATGCCGCATACATGTATCTGTCTGTGTCCTTCATCCAAATGCTCAAAGCTGGAACACCGGCTATCACCATGTTCTGTCTTTTTGTTTTTGGCATGGAGAAACCCCGTAGAGACCTTTTGGTCGCTGTTGGGCTCATCGTGGTGTCTTGTGCAGTTTCGGCATATGGTGAGATAGCCTTCGCAATGGTCGGCTTCGTCCTGATGCTTCTGTCCGAGACATTCGAAGCACTGAAGCTGGTTATGACGCAGAAGCTGTTGCATTCAACCTTTTCTGGACCAATCGAAGCATTGTACCATACTACACCCATTACATTCCTGTGCTTAGTGGCCCTCATCATCCCATTTGAGGGTAGAAAAATACTAGTAGAAGATGGTTTGGACAAGATTGCTGCTAGTCCACTCATGTATCTGCTTGCTGGGTGTCTTGGATTCATTCTGAATCTGTTTATTATGGCCGTAATTAAGCGTACAAGTTCACTAAGTTTCAAAGTGCTGGGACAAGCCAAGAATGTCGTCGTAGTAATTATTGGTGCTGTCTTCTTAGGCAATCTTGTGACTCCAGTTCAGACCGTCTCTTACGGTGTTTCCATCGCTGGGTTCTTCTTGTATCAAAGAGCTATGGATAATAAGAAAGCCGAGAACGCTACGTCAAAAGATATCGAATCCAGATCCCAAGAATATACTGCTTTACCACTCGTGGACGAAGGTGAAGGCTCCCTTCGGAAAGCATCACATACTCATTAATGTAATGAACACCATATAGTTATTTACGCATCGTTACTGCGCAGTGCGAACACATTATATTTGGAAGCGCTCCATATCAGAATTTATAGTAATAATAAACCATAGTAGTCGTGTACAACGCTATCTGCCGTTGGAATAATTGCCTAGTATTCATATCGAGAACGACAATCACTCAACGCTTTCGGAATGTTGGAACACTGTGCTTTCACCTGTATCGGCACCATCTAAGGTAGGGTTATGTGGGTTTGCAATAATATAAGAACGATTTGATGAATTAGAATAGACGTTGTATTTGGACGGGGGTATCAACACCTCGTACTGTCACGGTAAATATATTGTAGTGCTTTCCATTCAGACGTCATGAATACGAGATAGCCACTTCTTCAGTTGAAATGCATTTACTACTACACGATGATCGGTACTGACATGTTTTGAGCTCGGGCTCGACGGAATTGCTGTAGTTATCATAACCGCAGTCATCAAAAAAAGAACAACAGATTGAGAGCAACGACGAGAGTCATCTGACGTTCTACAGACGCAGATGATGCCGTATTGACGCTCGCTTGATCATTTAGAATTGATATCCCTGATTCGACGCATTTTCCCTTGAATTGTATGCCGGCGTCAATGAAGTTGCCATGGTTATGGATAGCACTGATAGGGAACTCGACAACCTCGTTAGTCAAGCTTGTGACCCTCACTTGCAAAGGTAAAGCAAGGTTTCCCTGGGGCAATTTAAAATACATCGACCGAAACGGACCCTGTCGGCGTCCTGCGAGCGTGTGATAGCGCCCATTTACCTCCATACTTATACTTCGTACGCCATATGGAGAGCTATTCAACATCAAGGAAGGAGTGTTGTCATCACTGGCACCACTATTGAATCTGTACTGCAGATTTTCCGATACTATGGAAGGGGGGCACCGCACAAATTCCCAAGTCACTTCTATCGAGGCTACTGTGTAGAGGTCATAGCAAGAATGGGTACTGTATAAAGTAAGAGAGTATTGATGAAGAAACAACACCAAGACTGACATGTACAGTAATATTTACACACCGATAAAGTGAGATGCAGCGGTAGTATGAAAACATTGCGCACCGACAATTTCTATAAGAGCAGGTCCAGCACATCTGACACACCCGATGGGCTCTTGCTGAACTCTTCCATGAGCGACTCCGAGACTTCCAATTCATTGCCGTTAACGGCGTTGAAAGACTCGAAAACAGTAAGCGTCCTCCTCACACCCTGGGCGCTTCGCACGTCTATACACGTTCCACAGTTTTCCCCATATGCAAAGCTACCGTACGCTACGGATACAACTTTCCGTTTGCCACCTGTTTATGCAGATTAGAGGAATGTTGCGAGATCGTTTAATGGAATGGAATGACTGCGTATAGCCGAATCTTCACCGAGGATTTGTTAGTCTACAGCTGTGCAATTTAATAGTATACCTGGATAAAACACATCCGTGTTACCACAGGTGCCAGCGGTGAGATGCTCTTGGTCAAAAACTACATGTGAGCGCATGATACCATGCCGAAGATCACTACCATCCTGCCCGCCTTGCACTATCTTGGGACAGTAACTTGCGTATATATCAGCTCGCACATATATAGTTTTGCAAAGCACCACTAGCGAAAGTGACAAAAGTATAACGAACATCATATTCTATCTCGTTGCAGCTTTAGGTTATAGCGTTCGTTAAACTGTATCTTTCCAAAGAGTGTGACAATATATTTAGTTAGGTAACTGAATCAGAAATCTATACATTGTGCCAACCACTAAACATATATTGTTGCTCAAATCAATATGAAGCATGAATAAGTACAAGCATGAAAATATGAAAAGTGCCGCTTTGTGCACATGTTATCTCGTATAAACCACATATCACGGTCGGAATACAAGTTAGAGTCGGCATCTTTATTATCATCGATAAGGATGCGTAGAATATGGAGAGTTTTCATCGAAGCTGTTGGCTGTATATTTGCATAGCCATCTGTGTTCAATTTTCAGAAGGCCATGATATTTGATACAAAACTAACTTTTTTCTCTGGTGAAAAGTTTTAAGTTGTCTGACTTAACGTTGTACATGGTCTTAGCATATAAATTTAATTAAAGTTTAGCAAAGATTGACGGGACCATGTTTATCAGTGGTTAAAAGCTATATGCTAATACTTGCATTTACAATCGCACATAAAATTGTTCCATGCGTATTGCATAACATACACCAACACAACAATGGTAAACGATACGAGTTAACCATTCCACCTGGCATATTCCGATGACAACGATATAGTATCGTGTATAGGTGTGACCGCCAAGTATGACTCTTACTCCGAACACATCCGCCAGTTAACAATCACTGAAGCCAACTTATTGAGGTATAAAATTACCACGTGCATATATTGAACCAGATGCACATCGATATATACAATCTTACATAGAATTTTAAAACATTCATGTATTTCGAATAACACGCGCATGCCATTTACAATAGATATACCACATCGAACCAATTTTAAGTATTACCCTTCCTCGATTCCCAAAATATCTACATTATTCGACGAAACTGGTCATCCCCAACTACATTTGTCGCTCCGATGTATACTGTGATACCGCATCCAAATGCGATTACTAGTATTATCATGTGCGAATGGTCTAAGCCTTGGGTAGTCTCAGAACCTGGGTGGCCAAACAACATCGCCTGATTTCGAGGCACAAAACGCGATACAAAATACTGTCAGGTTTCTAGCCATTCACAATTGGTACATAACACATACTAACAGACCCTTTCGTGATATAGTGCCATTCGGTACAGCCATAGTACGCTCCCTTTACTCTGATATACCCACCTCTGCCGCACATGCAAATCCTACCGTTCCGAATTGTATCTGTGTGTGTTGAATTGGCTTGCATATACATAACGAGATATCTAAGTATATAAAAGAATCACAAATATGTGCACGCATGTCCGATGTACGAGTTTATAAAGTGTACTTGAATACACAGCAAAATATGTATGAACACACGTACAAATGGTACAATATTGATGCGCACATAGATGTGTAAGGTTAGGTTGAATGGGCGCAAACAAAATCAGAAATGCTCCGTTCTATTTTTGGAACCCGATTTCTTGATATTGTCGGTGTAACTTGTAACCAACAACGGAGACATTCACTCTTCCGCTCTCACCCGGAGGCTACACGGGTCGTGTATATATCCGTACAAAATACCTAAAACCTGGCATCCACGATTCTACTTTAATTTATTTCTAATCTTTCTCGTTCTTATACCTAAACCTTACAATAGTTTGAAATGGCCTCTGATTTCCATTGCGGTGGCAGTACTCTTAGTCCACTCAACTCAGTCAATTACTGCATCGCCTAGAACATGATGTTCATTTTCCAGCTTGCAAATTGTCCAAACTTTGAACATTAGCCGAACTATGAGCTACTCTTTCACCATCCTCCGAATCAAGTATGTGTACTACCCTATAGCATGAATTCTACTATGTAACACTTATGATTCAATTTCCACTCTCCCCCACCTCGGCATCTTCGACTATATCCTCACCTTTAAAATGCGACGTATCCCCATCCTGCTGTACTCCGTCACATTGCATTGTACTCGCATTCTCCTCTAGCTTCACCTCACTCCCCATACGGTTACTATCCTGTACGCAACCCTCATTCTCTGAGTCACTGTCGGATTCACTGTCAGAATCCGACTCGCTGTCGGACTCACTCTCACTTTCTGATTCGCTCTCCCCTGTTAGCACCTCCCCTAATATATTATACTCGCTCTGTTGCTCTGGCAACACCACTATGAGACTGGGAAACTCTACCAGGGATACACCCTTCAGGGCTTCCTTGAGTGTAGTATCTAACTGCAAACGATGGTAGCGAACGCTATTACTGGCCCGTCCGTTGACCTTCGCACACACCAACAGCTGATCCACATCCACGGCTGCATACGAGTCTACCACAGCATTTCTGGTGGCTTGGTTCCGAACTGTCTTCAATGCACTTATTTGGTTTATCAAGAGTTCACGGATATTGGATACACAGTCACTTACGCTCTCATCAATGCCCGAGTACACTACCCGTGTTGTTGACGGCTTATCTTCCGGTGTACCTGTCTCCTCGGCGTTTACAACACTTTCTGTTTTGATCTCAGTCCCGTTATTCGTATCGCTTTCAGGCTGTGCATCGGCTTTTTCTACGCTTTCAGCGCTGGTGACCTCATTCAAAACATTACTCCCATCATCGACCTTTGACTCACCCACAGGCGGCTTTAAAGTCACACGCGTGTCTAATACAGGTGCTTCGAAAAGCCACTCCAACCTCCAGTATATCGTATCATGCTTCATATTATAATGCGAACCATTGCACGTGCGTTTCTTCATCCCGTTAGCCATAATCCGCACCTCCGTGCCTCTCAACTTTGCATGTTTTAACAACATCTGCAATTTCCGGGGCAAATTCCGCCCAGCCCTGGGCCTAAATTGGGCCTCCCTTGCCGCCCTACCCGTCATTTTATGCACATCTTCCAGGAATTGGTAATCACTCGCCAGATGTGCATCCGTAAAGCTGTTCAGCGATACATAACTCGTCTTAACCCTTATTCCAGTACACTCATTAACCTGCTTGTGTTTAGTAACACACACAAGCGAGCAAGAAAGAACACCACACCCAGGACATGTATATCTCGCGCTCTCTCCACACACTGAGCATAGTCTACGTTTCCGGGCTAATCGCTTGGCCTTTGCATCGGCATCCTCATCTTCTTTGGGCACGTCTGCATGGAGTGTGAAGTCGGCTGTAAGTGCGTCGATTATCTGCCCAGCTGCGATGGATGCTGTGGCCTGGTCTGTGTCCCCTTCTACTCTATTGAGCTGACTATTTAAGTTACTATGGTTACTGCCTGTGTTACTGTGTGTATGCGCATGGGCTTCATCCCGTGTATAATCCTGCACCGAGTTAGCGAACTTAACGCGTTTCTCTGGCCTCTCTGTTGTTGTTGTTGTTGCTGTTGTTATTTCAGTTGTTGTTGTTGTTGTTTCTGTTTCTGTGGCTGTTGTTGCTGTTGTTGCTGTTGTTGCTGTTGTTGCAGTTGTTGGTGAATGTTTTGCATTCGCATCTATGAGGGCCCCTTCAGATAGAACGCTATTTTCTGTGCTTGTCGCCATTGTGAACTGTTGGCGACGTGATGTCGTGTAGTTGAAAGTCGAGTATGTCACAGGATGAGATATTCCAAAAATGATGGTTTTCTACCAACTAATATTCAGCAGCAAAGCATTATCTACCCTACGTCGCCATGTGTTATTGAGTAGATTATATGTCAACAATAATAATGACATGTCAATACTAATACACACACAAGAAACTTCGTTTCAATATTTGCATGTATTTATACATATATATTCACACGCGAATGAGCGACAGAGTACAAAAAGCAAAGATTATGCACGTGTTACCGTCATCGCTTTTTGAATGACCAATCTGCCTAGCCGCCCAGAATACGAGAGCCTTCCTGCTCTGACGCTCTTTTTGACTTTATTTTACATACATATCGTAAATATGTTTTTTTTCTCCTTTTTTTGTATATTATTGCATACAGTATTTCATATGTACCATCTATCAGTTCTAATAATTAAAAACATAACCACCTTAACTGTCGTAAATAAAAAAGAATTGGAAATTCTATAAATGGAACATATCCCCTTTAGGCGGTGTTGTACAAACTCCACCAGGGGTTAGATGTGATGTTTTATATCAGTACATATAAATATATATATAATTAAATATATATATATATATATGGATATATATATATATATATATATAGATATGGATATATATATTTATATATATATATAGATATGGATATATATTTATATATATATATATAGAAATGGATATATATTTATATATGTGTGTGTATATCTAAATTGTCAAATAGATGTCCTGCGCCCTACGGGATCCAAGCAAAATAGACCAAAGAACAAAATTAATTAATTATATAAATATTAAAAAGCTTATGTATTTAGATTTAAGATGGTATGAGATAAACACGTAGCTATATTTACATATGCCCATACTCCACAGCAAGGATATGCGCGTATGCATTCGCAGGAAATAGCGATATACACGTAATATATAGGTAATTTTCTTACCTGGAAATAGACAGCCAATACGTATAGTTGTGATAGACTGACTCTGTGCGATACAAGAGCCATTCAGCATTTAAATAGCGTATATCAAATAACAAGTGCACAAACCTACATCAAGTATTTAAATTTAATTAACATAGTCGAGATGGTGCTGTGTAGACCATACATAGCTGCTGACGATCACAAGAATAACAGATCGGTATGTGATATATGAATCTAGCACTTCATGCTATATTTGTCCATATCTACTATATATGTGTGTGTGTGTGTGTGTGTGTGTGTGTGTGTGTGTGTATATATATATATATATATATATATATATATATATATATATATATATATATATATATATATATATATATATATTATTCGTATATATATATATATCTGTATATATATAAATAGGCACATGTACACGTACAGGTGTATGTATATGTATATGTGCATATATATCTATGTATATATTGTGGGGTTGGGTGGGGGTCTTTTTGTGGGGGTGTGAGGGTGGGTGATGTGAGTGTGTGTATGTATTTATCAATGCACATACGTTTATACGTATATGGATCTATATATAAATATATATATATATTGATATATATACATATATATATATATATGTAAATATATTTATATATATATATGTATGTATGTATAGGTATATATGTATATGTATATAGATATATATATATATATTCATATAAATATATATATATATATGCTGATATATGCATAAGTGTGTAGTTTTCTGGGATACAGTTTATAGCTAGTATGTGTACATACAAATATTGTTGTATATATCTTCAATTTTTCATACTAATTGGATGCATGTGTGTAGTCAGTGTGTTTGCTTTGAATATCAATACGTATATACACCAACTTCTAGTGGTGTGAATAAAGCCATGCACGCACATGCAGACATTCATTATGATATATATGCCGAATACATGGATGTATGTACCTGCATGGGATGCGAATCATAAGCAAAAGTGAACTATGCCATACAAATATAACTCATAGTGTTGTGCCTATATGGCTGTACTAGATGCTACTTCTACCTGCTAGCGTGCATGGTCATTTACCTACCAAACTATGTACACAACTATGATTTATTTTGTTGCTTGAATATGGGATGCGTCCACTACAAACCCAGAGTGTGTTTGACTTCAGGGTTCTCCTAAAACCCTAAAACACTAAAACCCTTTTGTATACTGAGGACGTTGTCATTTCATACATTCTCAGCGCAACTGTCTAATGGGCTGCTTCCGATACTCATACACATTCGGTCCCTCATTCATCGCTAACAGACAGTGTTTAAGAACGAAGTATTATACGAACAAGGGTTGTTCCGCATTACTTCGATTGATGGGGCAAACATCTTCTCTCGTCTAAAAGGTACGTGCGTGTACGCTGTGAGCATTCATATATACATACACACACACATTTTATATATATATATATATATATACATATATATATATACATATATATATATATATACATATATATATATATATATATATATATGTGTGTGTGTGTGTGTGTGTGTGTGTATGATATTGCACACACAGACTGCTTACATTGCTCTGTGTGCATATATTCCAACGTGTGAATATTGACGAGTATTTGTGCTACGAAGATGGGTTGCCATGGCAATGTGTTGCATTTATACACGTTACTTTTTCCTTAGAGGTATATTTACGGCTTTCACGGGAAGAAGAGAGTATGACTAATGCATCTATCTGTAGCTGCATCTGTATATATATGTGTGTGTGTTTGTAAGTGTGTGTGTATGTATGTATATGTATGTATGTATATATATGTGTGTGTGTACATGTATGTATATATATATGTGTGTATATGTATGTATGTATATGTGTGTGTATATGTATATGATACATAATAGTTGATGGAATCATGTCGGAAGCACTGTTGTGGTTATCGAACTTAAACTCTCACCTCATAACCCGCGGTTTTATCACAACAAAAGTTGTGTATCCTCATCTGATCTTGTTTACATGCGGCTATTCCTTGCCTTTTGTAGGAGCCTTATCCCGGGACAAATACAGAGTCCAAGCTCGCACGGGCGCCAAGGTATATATAGTCGCACAATCCGACCAGTGGGACGAGATCAATCGTGATTGGCATTTATTATTAGAAAAGCTCATACCTACTCTGGAGAAAGATGAGTCACAGATACAGCACCTGCCCAAGCTACTGGATGATGTCATGAAGGCTCGAGGTGTGTTAGGAGCTCTGCTGCAATACCGTTTATCTACGTCTTAACGCGTTCCGTTTGTATGTTTTGATATGGAATTGTATGGGGCAGTACAGGTCGGATCTTGATGTGGCTTGTGCGCGTTGTGTTTGTGAGTTTATAACCGTTCATGGTTGATGTATAGCGCAAACGCTTATTGGTAGATGCGTTTATGTGTATGATGCTATAACATAAGCGTTTATGTTTGATGTTGTAACATAAACACTTGTGATTCTGCGTCTATGTGTATGTTGTAGCAAAAATGATGCTATAACGTATCCGTTTATATTTAATGCTATAGCATAACCGTTATATGTGATGCTATAACGTATCCGTTTATATTCGATGCTATAACGTATCCGTTTATATGTGATGCTATAACGTATCCGTTTATAATTTGATGCTATATCGTATCCGTTTATATTTGATGCTATAGCATAACCGTTATATGTGATGCCATAAAGTAACGGTTTGTATTTGATGCTATAGCATAACCGTTATATGTGATGCTATAACGTAACCGTTTATATTTGATGCTATAGCATAACCGTTATATGTGATGCTATAACGTAACTGTTTATATTTGATGCTATAACGTAACCGTTATATGTGATGCTATAACACAACCGTTTATATTTGATGCTATAACACAACCGTTTATATTTGAGGCTATAACGTAACCTTTTGTATTTGATGCTATAGCATAACCGTCCATGTTTTCTATGCATTTGATGACCTGTGCTCTACGCGCGTGGTGTCGCAGCAACCATGTGGTCTGCTGTGCATTTCTGCGGTGATTGGAACTTTCGTTTGTCTTAGGGTTATAAGGTTTTAGGGTTTTACATTCTCACAGGACATATTCCCTGATAGTATTATTTCTGGATGTTCATGCGGTCAACATAGTGTGCCCTACCGTTTGGAAACATCTTCCAATTCTATTTATATAATTGGTGTTTCACCCAAATTCCAAACCCGAAACAAATACGACGTCAACCCAGAAAGTTCCACCACATCTGAAGGTCCCTTGCAATACATACAACAAACTCGATTTCTCACTCAAACCCCGAAAACATCCGAATCCGAATTAGTATGCAACACCACATCTGGAGGAGGCATCTATCGCAAAGCATCGACTACGGTACAAGTGAAGGACCAACGCATACAGTTCGAAGAGAAACTCAGCTCACTAAAGAGCGGACAGGCCCATCGCGACGAAAATCAGCTGGAGAAGTTCGAGATATACCGCACGCTTGGCACGGGTTCTTTCGGCCGAGTTATCCTGGTCAAAGTAATATATATATAGCTATATATATATGTTTGTGTCTGTGTCTGTGTCTGTGTGTCTCTGTGTTCCTGGGAAAAAGTTGAAATCACCATTAGGACTTCTTCAACCGGAGTGTGACTCCCTTTTCGACTCATACCCAGCGCTCAGTACTCGTTTGAGCTGCCTCTATACTGCACATCAGAATTTAAAACATCTGTGACGCATACTGCCATACGCGTTTTTACTTATAGTATACGTTCGCGGACCTTCCTGACTGTTCTCGTCTCACCTATCACCATGGCAACAGACTAAGGACTCCGGAAAGTTCTGCGCAATTAAAGTGATCAAGAAAGAAATAGTCATCCGCCTCAAGCAAGTGGAGCATACCGCCAATGAGAAGAACATCCTGTCCTGCGTCGAATGTCCCTTTGTGGTCAACCTGGTCGACTACTTCCAGGTGTGTTGTGTTGGGTTGAGGATTCGTTATGTTGGGTTTATGTTTGTGTATATTACGGTGTTGGGTTATGTTATGGGCATCTTACGATTTGTTGTTGAGTTTATGTTTGTGTATATTAGAGTGTTATGTTAGGAGATGTATGTGTATATCATAGTATATGATATTCTGTATGTAATGCTTTTTTTTTTATGGGGGGGAGGAGGTTCAAAATTCCTTCCTGTTAAGCCATGTATTGCGCATGTGGACATGTACGAGAAAAGTAATCTTTTTATGGATATTGACTGGTAAGAGATACACAAATTGACAAGCGTGCCAACCCCGTTTAATATAAGTATATATATATATATATATACATGTGTGTATGTATGTATGAATATATGTAAGTAATATATATGTATATTTGCATATATATATGTGTGTGTATATATATTTTTATACTATATATATGTATATATGTATTATTACCTCTGCACTTATTTTAATCTAATGGTTTTTTGTTATACACTTTGACTCCCACGAATGGTAACTATACACCGCTGTGTGGTGTATTTGTCATTCTATGTACAAATGGAGCAACCCATACGGACTACCCAATTTCTTCACATAATATCATGCGCCCCATTTGCCTGCTTGTTTTTCAATACAAGACTATAAACTTATTATTTATTTGCGTCCTATTTATCTGATTATTTTAATAAATGCAGGACTCTAAAAACTTATAGTCTGCGTCCTATTTATCTGCTTATTTCCTTAATACAGGACTCCAAAAACTTATATTTTGCGTTGGAGTTTATCAACGGAGGAGAGATGTTCACACACATCCACCGCAACCGCTACTTCAGCTATGAAGTGGCTAAACACTTTGCCGCTGAGGTGGTGCTTGGCTTTGAATATCTGGTATGCCTACTTATATTAGAGGACAATATATATGTATGACTACCTGATACGTCTATCTATATATCACAACAATGTATACCTGAAACCCTAAAAGCCCTTCTATAGCTCACTAACATCTCTAAACCTCACACCTTACTAACGTCTCTATACCCCACCTCTACAGCACAATCTAGACATTGTGTACCGTGACCTTAAGCCCGAGAATCTGCTGATTGACAACAAAGGTCATGTGCGCATCACTGACTTTGGTTTCGCCAAACGAGTGGCTGACCGCACATGGACTCTGTGTGGCACCCCCGAATACCTTGCACCAGAGATCATCCTGAGTAAGGGGTACTCCCACAGGTACGTGTGTGTGTGTATCTAATACCTCGCACCAGAGATCATCCTGAGTAAGGGGTACTCCCACCGGTGTGTGTGTGAGTGTGTGTGTGTGTATCTAATACCTCGCACCAGAGATCATCCTGAGTAAGAGGTACTCCCACAGGTACGTGTGTGTATCTAATACCTCGCACCAGAGATAATCCTGAGTAAGGGGTACTCCCACAGGTACGTGTGTGTTTGTGGGTGTGTGTGTGTATGTTGGTATCACTGTGTGTGGTGCATGGGTTTTGTGTGGAGTATAGGACTATGTGTCTGTGCGTATGTGAATCAGAAATGATCTGTTGTCGTGACCATACATGGCCATGTGCTTGTCTTTGTATGTGTCATTGTCTTTTCTTGAGGAATTTTCTGTGTGGTCTGATTGGAAGAGAGTTGTGTATTGCTTAAGCATACTGTGTGATATTTTCGTACCACTCGCATCAGAGTTCATCTTAGGTAAAGAATACGCACACTCGCCTAGATATGTGTGCATATATATATATATGTGTGTGTGTGTGTGTAGGTATGAGTGTGGGTTGCATTGTGTTTGATACCTTCCGAATGAATGAACCAAGTGCTGACGCGGGTTTTACAACCGAGTTTGAATAGATGTTTGAACATACCTACACCGATCTAATACTGAACATGTTTAGTACATGTTGTGTTTATGTTGAGAATAATTCATCGTCACACAGTAATATGGACCTGTCGAGTTGATTTGTGGTTGAGCACCCCCTACCCTGCGAAATCAAACTCGACTTGCCACACCTTCATTCTCAGTGTTTAGGCGTTACACCGATTACGATTCAGCCTTGTCAACTCAAATTCTACTCAATATTTATATATATACATACATATATACGGTTACAGTTTCAGATACAGATATATATCTATATCTATTTATATAGATATAGATATAATTTTAGTTATATATATTTATATAGATAATGTATGTATGTATATATCTATATCTATATATATAGATGTATATATTAAATATATATATTGTCTGCGTCTATGTATGTATATACGTATATTTATTCATTTATTCACTTATTCCTTAATATTTCTCCACATGTTTCCCCACCCACTGCAGTGTTGACTGGTGGGCATTGGGTGTGCTGATTTATGAAATGCGCTGTGGCCACGCGCCTTTCTACGACGCGAGTCAAATGGAGATGTACAAAAAGATTGTGGAGGGTCGTCTGGCGTTCCCGTCACACTTTAAAGCCGACGAGAAAGAGATCATCCAGGCCTTTCTGACCGGAGACCTGACTCGGAGGTTGGGAAATATGAAGAATGGGGTGAACGATATCAAGCATATGAAGTACTTCAAGGTGAGAGAGTGAGTGAGCCTATGTGTGTCCTTGATGATATGTCAGTCGCCTATCTGTATCCTCGATGGTATGTAAGTAGCTTACCTATACCCTCTCTTCTGTCACAGGGAATGGACTTTGCCGCACTCTATGCACTACACGTCACGTCACCGTACATCCCTAAGGTGGGCGGAGACGGAGACGCCAGCAACTTCGACAAGTACGATGAAGAGCCTATCACCTGGTACGGCGGTGATGTCAAGGACCCGTACGCCGATATATTCAAAGACTTCTGAGGAGCGTCTGTGTGAAAGACCAGGCTGATGGAGACGGTGTTTTAGCTGTAGCGGCAAAGGAAGTTCTGCGAGCAATGTATATCTAATTACGGCGATGTGGGAGAAGCTATAGCTTGTGCGAGAGTTTATAGCTCAGCAGGGCTATGGGAGGTATCGTTGTCGCACGCGCTCGTGCTGATGAGGTCGTGGGAATGGGAATGTTCTGTATGCACACGCCTGTAGGCGAATGTGTATGAGGAAGGGAGTTGTATCCAAATACTAGACGCAGGACTCTGCGTGTGAGATATAGGAAGGCTAGATAAGTATATATAAATTTATTTATGAACCGGATATTGAGTACAGTTCTGTTTACGAACCAGAAAAGTATAAGTAGATGTATTTTATGTACGAATGTATTTATGCGAAATAAGTAAAACGTGTTTTCTATACAAATGTATTTTATTATGAACTAAATAAGTATAAATAAACGTGTTTTTATGTACGAATGTATTTTATTATGAACCAAATAAGTTTAGATAAACGTGTTTTGTATACAAATGTATTCTATTATGAACCAAATAAGTTTAGATAAACGTGTTTTGTATACAAATGTAATCTATTATGAACCAAATAAGTTTAGAAAAACGTGTTTTATGTACGAATGTATTTTATTATGAACCAAACAAGTTTAGATAAACGTTACTTATGTATCTTTGCATACTATATGAACCAAATCAGTATAGATAAAGGCGATTTATGTATATATGTATTTATGTATTTATGCACCAGAAAAGTATAGAAAAATGTGTTTTACGGATTTATTTATTAAACGTGAACCGGAAAGGTATGGGAGAACAAGTTTTATATATTTATGTATTTATGAACCATTTTTCAATAAAAATAAACTATTTGTGTATATATGAATCAGATACGTATAAGCTTAAGCACACCAGATAAGTATAGATATTCGTTTTATGATTTTATAGATTTTTACTCAGATAAAGTCTGTGCCTTTATTAAGAACATTTATGATTCAAAAATGTACAAAATAAATGTGTGTACCTATATATTTGATTCAAAAGTGTACCTATATATATATGTATATATATATATATGTGTGTGTGTGTGTGTGTGTGTGTGTGTGTGTGTGTG